AGGGTACAAATAACCAAAGTTGGATCTGTATTGTCTCATCCTAGGCAGATCTCAAGTGGGGTCGTGCAAGGTAGTGTCCTAGGTCCACTTTTATTCACAGTCTACATTAACAGCATTTGCAAGTGCTTCACCTCAGGCAAACCATTCCTATATGCTGACGACCTCAAAGTCGTCTACTCCTGCTACACTCATGAATTAAGCGATATGGTTACTAAAATACATCTTGAACTAAGTAGCCTCTCAACATGGTGTGCTGAATCCTGTCTAAATTTTAACATTGACAAATGCGGCTGGATTTGTATCGGCAACAGTAAGCTTGATCTAACTCTTGAAATAAATGGGCGAAAACTAGCTAAGCTCAACTCAGTCGTAGATCTCGGTATTAGATACTCTAGTAACCTAACGTTCGCTGAACAGACTGATTATGCCAGACGTAAAACGCGAAGGCTGATAGGATGCATAACACGCAATTTCTTTTGTTGTGAAACTAGGGTTTTATTATACAAAGTATGTGTCCGACCTATCTTAGAATACTGCCCGTTTATTCTTAGCGGACTAAGACAAAATGACAAGCTTAAATTAGAGGGAGTGCAACGGCAGTTTACCTCAAGAACTCTTGGTTTAGAAAGTGGTCTGGAATACCATGAGCGATGCGAAAGACTAAGATTAGAACCCCTCTGGAAAAGACGCCTTAAGCTAAACCTTATCTTTTACTATAAGCTAACTAATCTTCTCTTGCATTCCTCCGAGCCAATAACTAAACCTACCGCTGTCATCAGTTACAATCTTAGAAATCATCACAACCTAGCTGCTATAGAGCACTGTCAGACTTACGTGCGGTACAACTTCTTCTTAAATAAGTTTTCAGTCATTTGGAATAGACTACCAGCTAATGTGCGCGATGCAAACACACTTCCAGTGTTCATCTCCTCAGTCACCAGACTGCTCAAAGATGACAATGCACTTTTGCGCCTGACTCTTACACCTTCTTTTTCACCCTACATAGATATTTTAAGTTCTTTAAACGTGTAGTTACAACAAACTACAATTATAAATTTTAATATTATTGGAACTAGATGATTAACATTTCTACACAGGACAGTAATATTAGTTCACACATAATATAAAAGTTAGCATAACGGGACTAGTTAGTTTGTGTACAAAAATAAGCACAGTTACTAAACAGAATATATGTGTATATTTATTAATCACTCCTTAAGGACTCCCGTTGCTTTCTTTTGCGTTGCTGTTGTTTGTCTTCTTTTTTCTCTCACCATTTCAGCTTCCATTTGACTTTTTGAATGAGAATGAATAATGTGGATATTTGACCATTTACAATGACAAATGATCTGCAAACATTATTGGTCCCGTATCTTTCAGTTGCCTGGTTAATAACGAATTAACTTTCTCCACGACGCAACCTGGATTACATTTGTGGAATATACTCTTATACCAATGGAAAAGTATCTATTTGTAATACAACGTCACGATTGTAGCTTATAACATAACTGATCGTATCTGTAAAATAGCTTCCTTATTACCCAATTTGGATATAAATCAAAAATGAGATTCGGATTTGTACACACCCAAGTTATATTGAGGAATTACTTCAAGCTTTATTTTTTCCCAAGTATTTTTAATCCATCCAAAACTTACTTGGGTTTTTTTGTTAATGCGAAGACAATATTCCTATATTTCATGACGTGCTCCATTGAATGACTGGTTATCATATTGTTCCCACAGACCTAAGACAAAAACGCCAGCAACCATGTAACTTAACCATAAACCAAATTTATGAAATTTAAATAATGCTTATCCATGCCTGTATATTTGGTGTGTCCTACACAAGTAGGAAAAAATGTGTATTTTATTAAAACATTATTATTAATTATGATTGCTAATCGTATATGTAATTTATCATATTGATGATGCCTGTAAACTGGCGTCTCTCATGTACAAAATGAGAATATACTATTATTATTATTATTAAAACTCGAGTTGAGGTCACTCATGCAATTCATCGAAATCAACGTATACTTATAAGTCATCAGAATATCCCAAAACTGAGTGAGTGCCTGGGAGTCATCCTGTAATTGACCACCATTACCCTTAACAGCCTCGAATAATTTCCCTACAATCATCGAAGGTCTTCCAAACCTTTGACGTAATATGCTCATAGCCTCGTCAAATACATTAACTTCATTTCATCACTTAATAAAAACCACTTAGCATGATCTCAAACTCCTTTACAAATTGTAAATAATCAGCCGGGTGTCCATCAAAACACCGTGGTTCAAATTTAGGGAGTTTGATGTTCCTATTATCCCTGAACGGCGAAACAGTAACATCAACCATGTCATGCTTAACATCAGACACATCGTTACAATTAACAGACAAGTCACCATGACTTACTTTCCTGTTCGCATCCAAGACGCTCTGTCCCTTCTTTGACCCAGGCATTGTTGAACTTGACCCAATTCCAAAAAAGTTCCAGATATTGCTTGTTCAAAGAGGACTTGACCGGCACCAGGAAAAATGAACGGTGACTATCCAAACTGTCACCAGCTATCTGAATCTTCACTGTCAGAAACTGTCAGCCACGTCTCGTAAACCGTTAATGCCTAGCTCTTGCTACGCTGGGACTCACGCTGTTCCTTGAAATTTCTCAGAAACGCTTAGTAATAACGGACACAAAACCAAAACACCGATTGGCTACTCGAGACTTCTTTATTGTAACACCAACATATAGCCCACTTTAAAATTAAGTTTTAACTAAGGTCTGTGAACAAATATTACAATAATAAATCACAATATTACTTCTGACGGTTTTCTCCTGACTTCTTTCTGAACAGCGACCGATGAGACGATGACTGGTGTATCGATGTCTCCGCGAAAATATAGGGAAGTTATGTTTGAGCAAACAACCATGAATTGATCGTTCAATCTTCAACTTCATCTACACAAATTGTTCTGGAAAGTTTTTCTTGGACAGCGTGAGGTACAGCGTAGTAAGAGCTGGAGATTGGCAATTTCTGATAGTTGGCTGACAAGGGGTGTATTTATACTCTGACAAGTGTTTGAGACGGAATGTAACAATAATGCAATCATTATAGTCGGTCGAAAATTTGACACGGACATTGTGCAGAATTACACACTGATGATGAATGAAAGCGACCACCCTATAGCATCATTTCTTCTCCGAAGGAAAGTGACCTCACCTAAATGATTTGGAAATATTTAGAGGGAAGATTAGCATCACATAGTCATAAAGCCAAGTTTCGTGGATTATACCGGTGTGGGATTTGTGCCGGGGGATAAGAGAGTTTTCAAATTTGTTATCTAGTTGGACGAAAACCGGCCTCTTGTACTGATGACAACAGGAACAACGTGTGGGTGTGCGTTCTAGTGAGCGCTGCCACTTTTTGTGATGCTTTTCCTTAGCTTTGTTAACAAACTTGAAGGCTAGTTGATTTTTAAACTTTCTAGGAATTCACAGGAGTAAGCAATACTATCTTAGGCCACACTGTAACATATAAAAACAAATTAAAAAACGAGAAATTAGATGCAATATGCAGACAGAAGAGTCAGTAGTCCAACGTTTAGATCAGGAGCAGTTAGACCGGATGACGAGGCGAGAATATCCTGATACACCTGGTGTTCTTTAGCCCAACAAAACCCCTTGATTACAAGTCACAGGAAGCATTATGCTATCGACTGTAAATTGTGACTGAATAGTGTGGTTCTATTTCTGTAAAAATTTGATGATGCCTGTAAACTGGCGTCCCTCATGTGCTGTACTATGAAAAATAAATCTATTTAATTATTTAAATGAAATAAGCATATCGCTGATTTCAAAATAACACACCAATGAACTATAATTCAAGGACTGTGCACACAACAAAGTCATGTATGAAAATTGACTTAAAGCTTTATTTTTTCCCAGGCACTTATAACCCATCCACCAAAGACCTGGTTTTTTGTTAATGCGAAGACAATACTTCTGTATTTCCTGATGTGTTGCACTGACTGACAATCTAGCGGAGTTCTCCAACTGTGCACAAAAATGATTGTACATAAGTGAAAAGGCTGTTTTATACTATTGGGACTAACATTTATCAAGTGTATGTATAATCTCCAGTGTACATGTAAAACATATTATGCCATCGACTGTAAATTGTGTCTGAATAATATGGTTCTATTTCTGTAACAATTTAATGATGCCTGTAAACTGGCGTCCCTCATGTACTGCATCATGAGAATAAATTTATTTATTTATTACTCCGGAAGGTGTCAAAATGATTATCGGCAAACCAACAGTATCCTGGGTGGGAAATTTCACACCAGAGTAAATCGTGTTAGCATACTCTTCCAGAATGTTTTGAAGCAATGTTCTACATCTGTTGCTACTCCTAATGTTCATAAGCAAGTTTCCTAGAAGATCGAGCCAACCGGCCATCTTTTTCCGACGCCAATACGAAGTTGTGGATGGTATGGAAGAGTGGAGATGGTTCACTGGAGTTACAAGGAAGGTCAAACCAACTTGGAAAACTGTGTCACAGTTACTTAAAATGGAAAAGTTTTGACTTATTTTTACCCGTATGGCAATGTTACAGAAAGTTCCATACTGCTTAATATGAAAATAATCTACCGCACACAATTAGAGTGCTTGATCTTGGGCCAAAGTAGATGAAAATTGGGTAGAAACCAATTTTGCAGGATGAGTTAATTTAGGCTCTTATTGGTTTAAGACGCTGGCAATGTGATGATCATCCGAGGAGGCTAGGCAGCCGAATCAGGAGTAAGTTGATAACTACCTGAGAAATAACAAACAACCATAGACAACCCAAAAGTGACATACTACCAGAAGTGTACTGTGGTAAAGCTCGTTGAGACTTAAGAAACAGCCCATCAGAAGGCAGTAAATCGGCTGCATTTCAGCTTCTTATAACTTGGCATCTGTTACAAACGTAGCCTTATTCCCTCTGGCGTAGCCAGTGTTCCGTTAACTAGCAGTTTCAAGAGGCGATTGGAAGAGTGCTCGCCGCGGGATTTTGACGGTGACCGTTACTCATAGGGAAAACATGATTTTGGTCTTTTTGTTATTATTATGCAGTGCATTCGATATTAATGCTATCTATGAAGACCAAGTCAACGTTCTTGACTGGTATGTTCTTCAAGCTTAGTAATATCTTTTCAGGCTGCAAAAGTACACGGGAAAAGTAAAATACTCTAGAATAAAATTCGACGGAGCTTCCCCAAAAGGCTATTACGTGGGTTCTGAACTGAATGTGATAAGTTCAATAAGCTTAAAAGACGGATCAGTTGGTATGTTAACAGTTATTTAATGTCTTGTAGTCTGGAGACAGGTTTTGGAAGAGGGTGGCTCTTTGACAGCGTTTGAATTATGTGATAACAGTAAGTTTGCATAACTTATATTACAATATGCTTAGGATTGTTTTCAATTTCCTCCAAACACGGGACAAAATTACGTGCTTGGGATGCGAGGACCGGTAGTGTTTTGTGGGAAGCCCTAATTGATTCATCTGAGTCATACAGGTAGTTAAAACTTGTAGTTTTTACTTTGTTTACAGTGGGGGCATTTGGTGTGACGGGCACTCAGGTAGGTCTATATAATAGTGAAATATTTTTAGACGCGTTGGTTGTGGGATATGACAGTGGAATAGATATTTATCGTCTCCGATCTGGTGAAAAGTTGTCGTCTGAAAGAACCAAGTGAGTTTGCTGTGAGTTATGAAATAGGAATTTATGTATTAGTTATAGTAAGTTTAAGGTTTATTACCCGTAAACAGCTTATATATATTATTAAATATCCGGCCTTGAGTCTTAAATCTTTATGCTTCATATATATGCACAGATATGTTATTTGTAGGAATCTGAAATTTGTAAAGGCACTGAATATAAGAAATTTCAAGTTGATGCAGGATAGTGCGCAGAAGTACCTACTGAAATGGACCACTTTAATTTTGTATGAATATACATAACTGAAAACCGTATGCTACTTAAAATAACTTTTCATTACTTAGGCCAATTATAAAGTACGAGACACTTCATTTTACTTGGATTTAATTGTTCACATGTGTCTGCACTCTGCCCTGAAGTTACTAGATATAGGAAACTGATAGTTTTTGCTGTAGTGTTCTCGCAACTAAAACGTCCAGCTCAGAGAACACAACTACACCAAAATAATCCACTTAAGCTACAGATTACCATTATTTATTTATTTTTTTGATTATATCTTGATTCTACACCGTATTTTTGGTACAGGTATGGAATTTTAAGCCCAAATTTTGCAGGCCGACCATAGATGTCGGGTGTGCATCGTCACGAGATGGAACCTCGGACCATGTGCATGGTCGGCGAGAGTCCTAACCACTGTGCCACCGACGCTGTCAGTTAACGATCGCAACGTAGTAGGAAAGTTTAATTTATGAGAGCCCATCTAATTAATTTAAAGGGATTTGCATGTTGGAGGACTTGATATAAGGATAAAACTTGGGCACTGTGGTTAATTATAACTCCATTACGGATAAAATTTCATTTTTGATAACATATATATATATATATATATATATATATATATATATATATATAGAAAGAGAAGCAAGGAAGTTGTGCGAGTACCTTGATATGATTATGAGCAATAATTTGTGCTCGAAACATCATCAGTAAATACTGCATAACACTCTGATTTTATCAAAATAAAATTTTTTGCATAATGATGACGACATATCCTACTATTGCACTCAAAATATAGTTAGATGAAAGTGTAAGCCTACTAAAGCTCGAATTTTTGTCTTAATTATACAACTCTATAACAAGTTTACTTAAGCTTATGAACCCAACACTCGTTATTTTTCTTGACTTGAAATCGGTGTTTAATTCCGTCGACCTAGAGGTACTATAGCGATGTTTGACTGTGAATGGAATGCCGAGAAAGTACACTGCACTGATCAAGGCACTCTACTCGAACTCTTGCAGCCAGTTGAGAGCTTACGGCGAGTTGTCATTTGAAATGGTGACAACTAGTGGTTTCTGTCAGGGATGCCCACTATCACCGTTTCTGTTTAATTTCATCATAGATGTGCTAATGAACTTAACCCTAAGTGACTTTAGCGACTTAGGGATTGAATTGTTACCAAGGAATAGTCTTTTTGACTTAAAATATGTGGATGATATAGACCTCCTAGGTGAAGACATTGAGTCATCTGAACACCTTGAGGGGCTGCAATCGTCGAATGTTTGGCATGCGATTCGTTCCCGCCGAATATAAGACGATGCTACAGGACTGGACTACATTGACTTCTAAGAAATAGCGAGTGAAGTGGTAGAGCGTGTTGACCACTTCACTTATTTGAGAAGTACCATCACCCCTGACTGGTTGACCGCTGACGAAATCCCAGCACGGACACAGAAGGCTAGTTTCACATATGCCAGCTTATTCCATCTCTAGCCTAGTCGGTGTGCCGTCCGTCTGACTGTCGACCAAAGGACGTGTGTACTGCTCAGCACTGCGCTCCGTCCTACTTTATGGCTGTGATTGGGACATGGTCACTGAAAGTGAAAAATATGAAAAGACTATCTTTAACCACAGATGCCTACTTCCTGTCCCCCGTGCTAGGTGGTATAATAAGGTGAAGCATCGGTCGAGTGCTATGTAGGTGGGAAGGGAAATCAATCGACTAGGTTGTGAAGCTACATCGATTGAGATGGTTAGGACATGTGTTACTTATGTCTAGCCATCGCCTTCCTCGACAACGGACGATGTTAGGTGATATAGGACGGATTAGGTTGGAAAAGGGCTAGTGGTGGTCAAACGAAAACATGCCTTCATCAGTCAATGAAATCCAAAACAGTTAGTTTAAGCCAGTCATGTAAGGATGTGTAGAGTGGTTGTCTGGTTGGGGTCCTCAGAATGGTATAAACCAATGAAGGCTGGAAACAATTGGTGATATGGTCGAACATCGTTCTCAGTGTCTGGCACAGATACGTTCTCTCTGTGATTTATAATATACAATAAAATTGTATTATTCTTCCATATGACTGTTCATTTTCCCTCGTATTTCTGTTAATTATCTCTCTTTTGAATCTCTCTTTACTCTCTCCTGTTTCTTTGTGTGCTGCATGAAGTGTGACAACTCGAACTGCTGCACATCTGTGCAAAGTTTCAAGTTGGAACCAGTCAGTCAGCCACGCTCATGAACTATGCTCTGAATCGAAGAAATATGAAATGTACCCAGCTTGAAAGGGCAGGCTACTGTTTTTTTATGCAGGACAATCACACAGAAATCAAGAATTATATATATATATATATATATATATATATATATATATATATAACTGGCCATTGCACAAAAGACGGATACAGTAGGTAGTTAATTGCATGCATCGTTCGGTGAATAGTCCGAAAAGTACCATTATTGTTGCATTTACGAAAGTTTACTTATGGTGGACAGTGACCTGCTGATATAGATTGTTTACATTTGTTTAAAGAATAATATCAAATATCTTTCTTCTCAAACAAGTAACTAGAAAACCAGTTCCTCTTTTGACTTCCCACACTATATGCAACAGACTTAGTATCCAACATAGCTCAACTGCGTAAGCATAATCGCCCATAACTGGTATACAAACTTCATGCATTTATTCCCCTTGATGAATTTGAATAAAGCAAGAACAACAGTGGTTTGTGCAGAATAACATGGTACCATCATTTATTTCGTTGGTTTTTCATCAGCTGCTTACAGCCTAAATAAATCATGAGGTTTAAGTACAGAAACGTTTTAACATACTTGCAAATATTACATGTCAGTTGACGGAAAGTTTCACAATTAGTAAACAGTGCTCAGAAAATTGCGCTTATATAGTTTTTACACAGGCAGTTCAAGTTAAAACAAAATAAATGTATGCATATAAGGGTAAGGGAGTTACATAATAAAGATGAGATGTGCGTTAGATGCATAGTGACTAATAAGTTAGGTAACAATGTACTGAGTTGAACTCAAATCATAGAAACAACAGACAAGCAAAATTACAGATTACAAAAGGAGAGTGAGGTTAAAGACAAAGATTACGTAATCAGATGAGAGAAAAAGACATCCAGTTACCAGGATGGCAAGGAAAGACTAATAACTGCTTCTTTCTGAACACACAGATCTGGTTTCAAGCGTTTGATAGAAATTGCTTCGGCAAACTTGAGGAGAATGGAGCTCCTTTGTCTGTTGATAATTTTGAGGGATATCTCGAATTCCACCTCATGACCCGTGTCGGGGAGATGTCTGGTATACAAACTATGTGATTAGCCTACATCAAGTATTACCTGGACTTGAGACAATGACATAATAGCAAAAAAAAACGCAAAGCCTTGCAAAGGTGCGTCCATACTGCTCATAATTTCAAATTGAAATTTGTTCGGTTGCACTTATCACTGGAATCCAAGATCAGTCTTCTTTTCTGCTTGTGATAATCATTTCTGTTTGAAAATACCATTGGGAGATTAGAAACATAAACGAGTAACATGCATACTAGTCACTTAGGTGATTTTAAAAAGTGGACCTACTACAATCTTACTGGTTAAAAACCAATATTACCTGATAATTCAAACCGAATAGGTGGGTTTATTTTATAATATGGGACTTCCAAAGCGAAAGTCAAATACTCTTAATTCAACAAGCCGTACATCTTTGCTTGATTGTATCTGTTTAATAGTGAATCCTTTTTCTTACCGTTTTCTGTATTCCTAGGAATCCTGATGTTGTGGGTCAAATAAATACATATTCCAGAAGAGTCGAATCCAATGTATCGATTTCCATATTTGAAGAACATTATCGTGGAGATGAACACACTAGTGACGCTAAAGCGTTATCCTACGTCATCGCTAAGACATTTTTGCTCTCGAATTCCGGGTCGTACTTAACATCTGTGGTTACAAAGAACTACACAGTTTACTCACCTAAATATAATCAAAACTCGTAAGCGATCTTTATAATTTTATCAATATGTCTAGCTTTTATTTGTGTGTGCTACTTACCACTTAACCTTAAAACATGCTCACCCTGATAAGTTAGTTGGGCAGTATATAGAAAATTATAATAATTATAGGAATAAAATGAATGACAAACATAATAATAATAATAATAATAACAGCTTTATTCCAAACGGTATTTGTGGTACAGGTATGGAATTTTCAGCGTGCATTACAGCATATTGCATCTAATTACCTCATAAATTATATAAGATTTTTAAAAATCAAAGATAAATAAATAAAAATAAAATAAATAAGTTATAAATAAATAAAATAAATAAAAATTAAAAATTAAGAAAAAACAGCGTAGAGTATTACATTTCAAACAATGCACCACAGGATATGAAATATAAAGTTGATGTGTGATAGAAGATGAGAACAACAGTGTAGTAGTAACGAGGAAAGGAAAACAAAAACTAATGGGACTATTTGTTAGAGTGCCGCAGTAAGTTTATCGTGTCATATCTAACGGGTTTCTCATCACATAACAGCTGTGCCAGATATGGTATTGTGGAGTTTTTGTATTTGGTAGTCCTAGCAAATAGCCTCCTATAGCTGCTTCTAGTTCTACCAGATGAAATGCAAGGAGATAGATGCGTATTAAGAGGATGCTCGGGGTCCGACAATATTGTATTCGCTAGTTTCTTACATGACAATATGTCTATCTACAATAGTGTTCACCAGTTGGTTTAACGATATCCCACTTGCCCTACTAACAGCTTTTAGTGCCCTTCTCAGCGAAGCAAAGTCTTTCTTAAGTAGTCCAGGAAAGACTAATGGGGAGCAGTAAAGGAGGATGGGTAGAATACAAGAATTTACAAATTGAGAAAGTAAAGATTGCTTTATACCAGACTGCCTAAATTTCCTAATGTAGAACATTAAGCGAAACATCTTTCTAGTAACTAGCAAGATGTGGGAAGACCAGGAAAGATCGGTGGAAAAACTCAGCCCAAGGTACTTGACATTAGATGTATTTTCAACCTCTGTGCCGTCAATGAGAGTGGGGCCATGTGAGCTAACTAGTTGCTGTAGGTCACATTTACGTCTGAAAGTGAAATTGACTACCTGACATTTAGACGGATTAAGCTTAAGTCCGTTTGAAGAGGACCACTGACTAATTTCCGACAGAAAGCTATTTAATTTGAAACAATCTGACTGAGAGTTGACAGGCATAGAAACCGAGAGGTCATCGGCATACTTAACAAAAGTGGCTACATCAGAATGAGGCAAGTCATGTAAGAAAAACGAGAACAGAAAGGGAGAAAGAACAGCACCTTGAGGAACAGCAGCTAAAGTAAGTGAGGTAGTGGAGGATTTTCCATTGTAGACGGTGTACTGCTTCCTTTCAGAAAAATAGGAATGCAACCACTTATTTGTCCAGCTTTCAGCCTGTGTTGCAGCAAGCTTACTTAGCAAGAGAGACCTGGGAACAGAGTCAAATGCAGATGCGTAATCAAGGAAGGCACAGCGAACGTATTTAGCTCCTTTATCTAAACTAGAGACTATGCTATGGTGGAGGACAACAGCGGCATCTAACGTACTCCTACTATGTTTATAAGCAAACTGGTTGGGGTCGTTGAAAGGTTTTAAAGAGGGATCAAGATTAAGTAAAATAAGTCTTTCCATAACTTTCAAGAAGGGTGAGGTAATTGAAATGGGTCTAAACTTAACATTAGGTCCACTTGTGATTTAGGCACTGGAACGATCTTGATTTTTTTCCACGATTCAGGTATAATACTTTTGGAAAACGATTCTTTGAAAATGTCAGTTAGCGGGGAACACAAGATGTCGGCACACTTCTTAAGGATAACAGCAGGAACACCATCAGGACCGAGGGACTGAGTAGGCTTGAGAGATTGAAGACACTTGAGGACATCATTCGTGTTAAAGCATGAGAAGCAGTCATTGTTTACACTATTTGAGTTAGGAATCATAACATTTGCTGGGATACATATGAAGGATTCATTAAACATGTTAACATCTGCAGAAATATCATTCATCATTTGCTTACCACCTGTGATGCACATGCACAGAAAGATAACACCAAGGAAAATTAATTTAAAATATCAGTAGTGCTTCCATACAAAAAGGAAACTCTAAACCTTGTCTAGATTTCTTAATAAGGCAGACATAAAACTGGCGTTCAAACCCACAGACTCACTTGGAAACAAATACCGGTTCAAGGATTCTGTGGAGGTCATCAAACAAAATGTCAGTCTATCAAATACCCCTCAGTGATTGTGAGGTCAAAGTAGTAGGCTGGGGTCATTTATGCTTGCAGAGCACAAAAACGTAGCAAAGTCTAAACCCTAATGAGATCAGAAATCTAGAAGAATGCTCAGCTATAGCATGCAGTTACGCACAACCATACAGTAGAATAGGACAAGATGCGTCTTAAAGTCTAGTGTAACAGGGTGGAGGGAAAAACTAGATAACCTTCATTTGTCAAATCAGCCGAAAATACATGCAGTAGGGATCATTCAACACCTGTCCAGGACACCTGGAAAATTTTACTAACCCTACTATAGATAGGAAAGGAGAATGAAAAATATAAATTTTCAAGGTTGTGTAGTTACAGCTGATATGTTATGAACGATAAATCGTGCTTTGAAACTCATCCAGTTAATAATGCTGTTACCTTTTGCTATATTCCCAGTCAAAACTATTATGAAAATGGCAATTTATGTAGTTTTTTTTATATGAATCTGATAAAATAAGTTAGTTCATGTTATTTTTTACAGTTATTTAGTATTTGTCTATTTAATCTTTCATTCATGAAACTGGTTTTCAGTCAAACCTACTATTTTCTAGTCTTAACCATGTTTTTATTCACTCATCCTGCACTGAATGCAATTTGTATACATTATAGGTTTCCAAATTGTAGGTGTTACGAACTTCCTGGAATAATTTGAGCACCGAGTCAGATTGATTCATTATAAATTATTTAAATTAATCCCAGCGTTTAAGTGTTGGTTTGTAGGGATTTGATTGGTTTCAGGATTTCATCATGAGCTGACATTAGTTAGAGAACCATTGGAAAACCTTGGAGTATTGCACAGCTGTTTCGTCCTAGTTTGGGACTCTTCATCAGTACGCACCCACCATCAGGGTTAGAACCCAGGACCTTCTGGTTACAAGGCGAGCTCGTATACCATTAAGCCACTGGGACCCGATCCAATGGTCCTTGAATTCTAACTTCTGCCAATTCACGACATAGCGCGACCGGTAGCCAATGTCTTCGGCGAGCATTTGTTCTCACACTCGACCAGCTGCACCCTACTGGTCACGACTTCCCACTGGAACCCAGGTAACTACCTACCTGGATAGGCCAGTCGCCAGTGAGCATCTCATTGGTATTTAAGTGTTGGTTTGTAGGGATTTGATTGGTTTCAGGATTTCATCATGAGCTGACATTAGTACTCCAGTACACCCAGGTTTTCCAATGGTTCTCTAACTAATGTCAGCTCATGATGAAATCCTAATCCCAGCGTGTTGAGAAAATCAAAATAAGATTTTTCTGAACGTTTCGCTGTGTAATGATGAATAATAAATTTGTATACACATTAGAAATATGTTTTTCTTTTTAAAACTGACCACTAATCCGCTTAATTTTACAGATGTCATATACATCGAAAATTCAATGACAAAACGTCTGATGACAGAAATGTCCTTGTTTGTCTAGCTTCTGAGCATGACAGTAAGAGAAATGTGCTTCGATTTTCATCCATTTCACCTTCGTCGTCATCTATAACTTGGAATGTTGTTACAGTAAACAATGTAAGTTGTTTTAGCATTTTTTTTCACAGTTGTCGGTTTATGTTGTATTCTTCCAAGATTTTGTGTAGCTGCATTTTCACTCAATAGAAAACTGTGCGCGCTACTGTCTAAAGTTGTTTTCTCTTCAAATTCATATTCTGTTGCTGTTTGGTATGATTATAGTATCTATATCACTTAAAAAAATACTCTTAGTGTGTTCCCCGTGTTTTATCAGCCACCAAAGAGGATTTCAGATGGAATATTCAGTTAAAATATTATGGTAACCCTTGTCTGTACATTTGGCATGTCTGAGTATTTGATATCTATTTCACCTTGACTATATAACTATGAGGATTGATTTTCGGGCTAATAACTGAACTCGAGTTTCTTGGTTGGAATCATATTTATACCTTTCTTGTTCCATCTAATTCTACAGCTTGTGGAGAATATGGAGATAATTTTGCTAATTTGTGAACAACTTATACACTTTGTGAAATGCTAAGACATCTATTGAAGATTGTCAGGTCTACTGAGAATGATAAGATCTGTTAACATTGTTATCGCTGATTACCTTTAAATGTATGACTCAAACAAAATCACAAAATATCATACCGGATCGTTCGGGGCCCGGATTAACAACGACCGCGCTTCCTGCTGCCGTGTCACAGGGCAGAAGTGGTAAATATGCTACTGAGACACACCAAATAAAAAAGAAACAAAATCAGGCCGCGTGTGACCGGCCTCAAGCAGTGGTCCTCTGGGCTCTGCGGTCACGCAACACTCTGTTTCAGGTACCCGAAGAAATAGTCAACTTCCACGGTATGGGCAGCCGGGAAGTAACAACCACCCACACACTTTAAAAAGCACACGAAGCCTTCCTGAGCATCATTCCCCTTTAAATGTGATGAACGACCTGGTGTTGTTTGATATATCATTAAAATAAATAAGTTATTGTCATCATTTTGTTAACTGCAGTTTAGTAATCCTTCTTTCCTCAAGGTTTTGTTCCTTGCCAGAAATAAAACCGGTATGAAGCAGTAATTCAGATGCTAAGCAATCTAAGCAGCCGTGATTCAGTAATTCCATTGTGGGTAAATTTTATTGGGTTAAAGTCTCACAGTGTTATACAGTAATATTTACTGATGACGTTTCGAGCACAATTTATTACCGCTCTTAATCATATCAACTTTATATGATTATGAGCAATAGTGGGATTATACTCTACCATAGTGCACAAGTTCTCTTCTTATACCTGTGATTCAGTAGTATATACAGATGTTTCCCAACTAATAAATCACGTCCGTTGAAAATACTTCAGTAGGGATTTCCCAGTAGTAATTTGTTGACATTTTGAACATCGTTGAACAAAGTCGATAATATGCTTATCCATATTAGGCCAGTATGCGTAGCTGCGAGCAATACTCTTCATCCGCTGAATACCAGGATGTCCCATGTGAAACTGTTTCAGGAGTTTATTTTGTAATGCTTCAGGTATCACTACGCGTTCACCAAACATCAAGCAATCTTTTACAACACATAAGGAATCACGACGGGCAAACAGGTGTTTTAGGTCTCCACTATATTTAATCTTTGGCCAATTACTGGATACATACTGTGTAGCACGTCGTAAGGTGGCATCGGTGCTTGTAGTTCGCTGGATTTCTGCAAACGTTACTGGTAGAGATCGAATAGCATTGTCGATGAGGTTAACTGCATAGTCTTTGGTGGCGATCGATGCAATTACCATATCTTCACTTGATGCAGGATAGTCGCTAATTAGCCGAGATAGAGCGTCGGTTTGACCAAATTCGTTAGTTCGGTTGTATTTAATATCGAAATCGTATCCAAGTAATATTATTGCCCAGCGTTGTAGTCGGTTAGCTGCATGTACCGGATACCTGATTTAGATCCGAAAATGGAAAGTAACGGTTTATGATCTGTCAGCAAGGTAAATCGGCGGCCGTAGATCATTTTATGAAAACGTCGTACGGCGAAAACTAAAGCTAAGGCTTCTTTTTCAATTTGTGCATATTTCTTTCCTGCCGCAGTTAGTGTTCGAGATGCATGCATTATTGCTTTTTGTGAACCATCTGGGAAGACATGTAAAATGACAGCTCCCACTCCGGTTGCTGAAGCGTCCGCTGCAACTATAATTGGAAGTGTTGGACTATAATGTGTCAGAAGCAATTCAGAAGTTAACATAGACTTCAACTTTTCAAAAGCTGATCTGCAAGCTTCGGACCATTTCCGGGTTGCATTCTTTTTGAGTAGTCGATTGAGGGGTGTCGAACATTATGCAGCGCAGGGAGAAATGCGAGTAATAGCTAATTAATCTTAAGAAAGAGCGTTAGGAAGGCACGTCAGTAGGTGTGGGCATCTCTTTTATAGCACGTATGTTGTCAGGATCTGGACGTCTACCCGATGCATCAAATATAAATCCAAGGTATTTGACAGATCTCAAGGAGAACTGACACTTCTCTGAGCGTAGTCGTAGACCGTTGTCCTGCATGCGTGACAAACAGCTTCTGTCCTGCTGTAAAGTTCGTTTGTAGAATTCGCTACCACCAAGATGCATCAAGATAGACGGCAACACCCGGAATACCTGTAAAGATAGTATCCATCAGTTGTTGGAAAATAGCTGGGGCAGTTTTCACTCCGAAAGGTAATCTGTTGTATTGGAACAAACCGCGATGTGTATTAATGGTAAGGAGTTCTCGGCATTCTGGGCTACTTCCACTTGTAGATATGCGTCAGCAAGATCCAGTTTTGCAAAATAAGATCCACCATTTAAAACAGTGAATAAATCATCCGGCGTAGGTAAAGGATAGTGGTGCTGTTCTAATGCAGCATTCAACCCAGTAGAGAAATCAGCACAAATAGTAGGACCCATCGCTTTCTTGACACAGTAATACAAGCCCTTGTGGATTTGTGGCTGTCTGTCCTAAGCCCCAGATATTCAGTCAATAGGTCACGGGTTCGAGTGCCAGACATTTCAGCCTGAGCCACTTTGGTACTGTCATTAACGCTCACGCAAGTAAGTGTGGTTCATATCCCGGCACCGAGTAGGTTAGTTCTATCACCAGACTTAATAAGCCAGTACTCATTTTAGCCTTAGTGTGCTTACCGTTACTCAACTGTGTTGTAATTGCTGGAATAATGCTTACTATTGCTATTAGCTTGTAATGTATATAAAAATAAAACCATTGAAAAGCATTTCATGACTTAAGCAGTCGTCTTCCCCTTCTTATGCAAATAATAATCACATGTCTATTCTATTTAAAAGACATGAGAGAAATAGGGCAATTAAGAGTTGATTGAAATATCTTTAGAAGCGAGTCACTGAATTTAACTTCAGAAGTTTCGTATTCTGTGTCTAATATGGATTAGTAGTAAAGCTGGTTACATACTAAACAGAATCAGGTGATCGACTGAAGTTGTATATTGTGATAAAAATCTCGAAGATTTTGTATTCATGTTTTTAAGGTACCTCATTGTGAAGCACTATCAGTCATACGAATGCAGTTTGATATAATAATAGTAATTATTGAAAAAATACAATTTAAGGAAATATATATCCCCCATAATTTCTGGTTTTAGAATTGGTTACCCAAAATATTCCTTATTATATCCGATAAATGATATTTGTCCCTTCATTGTGCAAAGACAGAATTATTACAATTGGCGAAGAACATGCAGTGCTATAGGATTTATGTCAGACTTTCAGTTCTGCTCTGCGTCCGTTAACTTCAATTATTATTCTTAAATATTTAGACAGATCTTTCATCTGAGACTTCCTGGGGTTATTTTATCCACAGAAAGTATAAGTTTTAGCTTTTACGTTAACTATGAAGATTATAACATTTATCGATTTTCATTTTTTTATTTCTAGGCATCACCACGTATGGTTAGACTGACAGATGAATATTTTCTGTTAACCTCTACCTCATTGGAATCAGCTGCCGGAACTGTATATTATGTTGATTCCTCTGGTACTCCAGTTGCAAAATATTCTGTCAGCAATGTAAGTTTATTTGACACTATTCATTTCTGAGTCCATATTTGGTGCTGTTAAGATATTTTAGTCCCCTAATGATTTTAGGTATCATTTGTGATTTGTCCGGCAGTTGTGGAATGAGTTTCCTTGAGTTCAGTAAAAATACTGTTGATTTCTAATTCATAATAAATTATTTCCGAAATTCCTTATGCAAACTTCTTGTTTGACTCATAAGTTCATTAATCATGTGTTTAAGTAAATCACTTCAGTGTTATATGTTAGATGTCGATCCAGAGATCTCACCTAGGTGCTATCTTCCCTGCCACTTATCAAAAATAGATGTATTTTCAATCATACTATTGGAATTTACTCATTATATTAAGAGATTATACCACTATTGTATTCAGGTTACAACTGACCTGTTGTTTGTTTGAATGACCTATGTGTCGGTAACCGATTTAACTGTTACGTGGTCACAGTGTGTGACTTGTTCCTTAAAGTCACTCACCTAGATAACATCTGCCTGTCTCTCTCTGGATTCAACATAGAACTTGGCACCGAATTGCACCAGTTCGAGTTGCCACGTTCCAAATAGCACACAAAGGTAGACAAGCAGATGAGTGAAGAGAATTAGTAGAGTTTCACAAGTATAAGAGTGAAACAGAATGGGTAATGGTAGAAAGGAATATGAAAGATTACAGAGACTGAATACATCTGCGCTGGCCATTGACAACGATTTTGAGCCATGTCACCTATTGTCTCCAGCCACTGATTCCTAGAGTCCCGAGGGCCCCAACCCGGAAGTCTGCATCTCCCTACCTGACTCAGTTTAACTGTCAAAGATTTCATGGATTGATGCCATGTTTTTGTTTGGACACCACTGGCTCTTTTCCAACCTGCACCTATATCAGCCAGTAATGCCCGTCGGGGGGGGGGGCGATGGTTAAGCATGCGCAGCATGTGACCTAGCCATCTCAATCTATGTAACTTTATAGCCTCGTTGGTTGATTTTCCCTCTTTGCCCAACACTCTACGCCTAACGTCAACATTACTTACCTTATTAAACCACCTAACATGATAAAGAGATCGCAGACATCTATGATCGAAAGCAGTTAACCTTTTCATGTCTTCAACAACTCGTATTGGCCATGTTTCAGAGCCATAGAGAAGGACGGAGCGAACTGATGAGCAGTACACACGTCCCTTGGTTGATAGCCGGATGTTACGCCTACACCAGAGATGGTTTAAGTCAGCGAAAGCAGCTCGAGCTCTTTGGATCCGTGCTGATATTTCATCGCCAATCAGTCCGTTGGTGCTGATACAGCTTCTAGATAACATGGCGTTAAGACATACTCCACTTTCATATTCAACCAGCAGAGTTAAGTTGGCACTAATTCCTGGTCTTGTCTGTTTTTAGTCCTATAATTTTCCAATACACTAAGACGAAAGTGATTCAACTAAGTGTGTGCTTACCACTTGTTTGTCACGAAAATTATTGATGATTTTGATCTTGTTTGTTACGGTGTGAATTTTGTGCAAAAACGCGAGTGCATATTCTAATATTCTTACTGACCAACTACCAAGTATAATATTCAAAAGACGATCTATTGAAGGAAGGCGTAGCAATGGGATACTTCCCCCGCTCGTGGGTCATCTCTTAGCGGATATGTTTATGACAAAATTAGGGAATCATCTACGGAAAAATGTATTTTTTTTTATTTTTATTTTGATTACAGCTTGATTCCACACTGTATTTTTGGTACAAGTATGGAATTTTCAGCATGGATATCGGTAGCCCAAATTTTGCAGGCCGACCAAATGGTGGGGGGGGAAACCTTGGCCGGTTGGCCAACCGGGCCCCAAAAAAAATTAAATGTAATCAACGAACTCTCGTTCTACTGTAGATACATAGATGATACTTTTATCTTGCATAAGAATAAAATCGATACTGAAGACCTTCGCAAAAATTCCAATATGGCTTACCCACAAATTATTTCACAAGCGCAACAGTAAAAGACAGTACTTTATCATTTTTTGATGTTCTGCTAAGCAGAAGACAAGATGGGAGCATCAAGCGGCGTATTTTCTGGATAAAATTATGGATTAGCCTGTACACCCATTTCAGGTCGTTCGTTCCTCTTGCGTACAAATGAAATCTCATCAGTACCCTGATGCTTCCTGTTACAAAAATATGCACAACCGACACTTTTGGAGATGAAATAAGGAAAATAAAAGACATATTATATGAAAACGAATATCCAGAAAAATTTAAGGTTTCCTTAATGAGGACAGATAAAAAGAAATGCCTGCAAACTGTGCGGAAGAAACGTATATATATTTTACTGCCCGAAGGAGATATTGCCGCTGAATTACGGGCATCGAAATTCTGAAAAATAACAGCTAAAAGTTTTTTTGCCGCAACACTATGTTTGAAATTTGCCACTCGTTGTATAATTCCAATGCAGGTGAAGGATAAGCTACTGAGTCCGGTCACCTCAGTGTGTGTGCGTCGGTAGAAGACAAGAGACTTGGTAAAGGAATTCATTTGGAATTTGGTATTTGTGTACAGCGAAATTATGCACACCTTATCTCCAAATTGTTATTTGCACAGATCTTCCGTGTTGTGCTAATTCTGCCCTTCGTATTGTGTTTCTTTGTCCGCTTTTTGTGTCTCCCATGTTGTGTTGCAATACTGGTAAATCGCATCAGTAGCACACGTCACAAGGCTACCGGATAGTTGAGTGATATAACCGGCATAGTAAAGCTGAAGTATTTCTTTGTCAACTGTATGAGAGATGGTTTCATATCTTAATTAGTAAAGTATTGATTCATCAGCTCGAAGGCCCTTGAGTAGCATTCGTTTTGTGGCTGACATAGGTGTGCGTATGTCATCAGTTTAATCACTTGTCCCTCATCTACTTCTACTTGGGCGGCTAAGTACTAACATATCACCCATCATATATCGGGTGTTACTTATAGCCTGGTACATGAGAGATCTGTTCTAGGTAACTAAGTTGTTATTAGTTTGTTAGAAGAATACCTTTTTATTAAATAAAAAAAGCAATGCTTGACATTAATGAACAATCATTACTAGTCAGCATTGTTCACTCTAGTATTGAAGTCAAATCTTAACTATGTCAATTTTCTAAATAAAATAGTTTCGTTTTGATTCCTCTTGCCATTTCGTCATTGTCATCTCATATATATTCTGACGAATGCATTTCATGTTAAATTTTATCCAGCCTAAATTGATTGTATTCAAAGTTGTTTTTGTTTATCGTTTTCCTTCTTACTTGTAGGCTATGGTTGGATGTTTGGGGACGTTGAACGGTCGATCCTACTTATTTACACTACATCATAATTCAAATCAGGTAGCTGGAAAATATTTTCTATATATTTTTGGTTTTGTTTCTCACTAATGCCTAACAGAATTTCCCTGCTACAAGGGAAAGTTTTCGTTAATATACAGTCCAGCGAAGTTCTGTAAACACCTTGAATGAAAAAATACAATTGTATTTTGGTCATGTGACTTATGTCAGATAGTACTGAAAAATTGGTCTGCCCTGACCTCCTTAGTTTTTGGATAGGTTGTGGAATAATTGGGTGTATTGACTACTTCTTTTAGAAGTCGCTTCAGCCTTATAAGGTTAATTGCTGATGAAATTCCGGCATGAACACAAAAGGCTTGTCTAGCATTTATCAACTTGCGTCGAATTTAGCTCAAGCATGATATACGAACACTAGCCAGAGGACGTGTGTGCTGTACACCGGTGTGCCATCTTACGACTGTTGATATTAGATAGTTGGAGGCAATCGGCAGGAAGCTTTGGATCTAGGTCTCGTGTCAGTTGGCACTCACCGGTCAGCAAGGCGTATCTCCAACAATGAAGGGACTCACATCCCTCCTGGGATTCGAACCCGTGTCACCCAGTGCCGCCTGCAGTCAGAGACGTTACCACTGAGCTATTCGGACTCGCAATTGACCTCCTGTAGAACTGTACTGGTGTCCACATTGCAAACGTGACCGATAGAATTTAGTCTGCACCAAACGGAGGACTAGACACATTATACTACAGAAGGTCAATTGCGAGTCCGAATAGCTCAGTGGTAACGTCTCTGACTGCAGGCGGCACTGGGTGACACGAGTTCGAATCCCAGGAGGGATGTGAGTCCCTTCATTGTTGGAGATACGCCTTGCTGACCGGTGAGAGCCAACTAGCACGAGGCCTAGGTTCAAAGCTTCCTGCCGAATGTCTCCAACCATCTAATACCAACAATTCACACTGTACCGTGATGGTGAATCACCTAGCATAGTGGCTATATCGCAAACGTAACTGATAGAATGCGTCGGTGGCACAGTGGTTAGGACTCTCGCCGATCATGCACGTGTTCCGAGGTTCGACCCCCTGCCGACGAACACCTGATATCTATGGTCGGCCTGCAAAATTTGGGCTACCGATATCCATGCTGAGAATTCCATACTTGTACCAAAAATACAGTGTGGAATCAAGCTGTAATCAAAAATAAAAAAATAAAATAAGTAGAATTCAGTCTGCACCAAAGATGGAACTAGGCACATCATACTAGTTACTAATTAGTGTCCAATCAAAAGCATCTTACGACTGCTGGACATGGTCGTCGGAAGTAGAAAATATGAAGAAATTAGTGGTTTTTATTCATAGGTGTCTTCAGCCAGTTACGTGCGTTAGATAAGGTAGAATAATAAGTGATAATAAGACTAAATTTAGTTTCAGAAGAGGAGGGAAAGCCAATCGATAAGGTTGGAAACTTCATAGATTTATGTGATTAAATGTTTTGTGTATACTGCTCAGCATTAGATGAGGTCGAATTAAGATTGGCGAAGAGTTGACCAATGACAAACTACAATATAGCCCTAATGGATTCATCCACTATTGATCTAAAGTACGTTGGAGGGGGAGGAGACTGTCTTCCCTGAGTCCTTGGTATGTTAAACCTCAAAAAGTTGAGATTGTTTGTATTATTGCCTAGGATCGGTATGCATCGGGCATATACATTCACTCTTGATCATCTCTGAAATTCTGGAGATGTTTACTATTCATTAGATTACTCCTTTTCTCGCATTTATGTTTGTCTATTGTAATGTCGTTACATTTGTTTCCTTATTTCAAAATGTAACAACTTGAATCGACTTATTCCTATGTAGAGTTCTGCTCTTTTTCTTCAGTCAGTCGTCTAGCACCATTGCAATAAAAAAATGGTTTTCTCTATTGTTTCTATATTGTATTTGTTTTCTATATTGTAAAGTGGCATAATAAGGTGAGCAACATTGAGGTTAGGCGTCGAGTGCTAGGTAAACAGGGGAAATCAATCGACGAAGTCGTGAAGTTACAAAGACTGAGATGGTTTGGACATGTGTTCGTATGACTAGTCATCGCCTCCCTCGACGAGCAATGTTAGCTGATATAGGGTCAGGCTGGAAAAAAGCTACCGGCGGTCAAACAAAAACTTGTCACCAGTCAATGAAATCCACAACAGTTGGTCTAAGCCACGTAGGAAGGTGTAGACTTCCAGGCTGGGGTCCTCGGGACGGTAAAACTCTATGGTTGGAAACAATTGGTGACATGGCTCAAAATCGTTCTCAGTGGCGGGTGCAGATGCATCCACTCCTTGTGACTTATGATCTCCAATGAAACTGTTTTGTTCTTCGTTAATACTCCTTTGTCTCACACCTCTGCTCACTGTTTCTATTATGCTTTTCTTGTACTTTCTTCTCTTGCTTCGCGTGCTACACGGAGTGTGGCGACTTGAACTTCCGCACATTTGTGCAAAGTTCTATGCCGGAAACAGACAGACAGATATTGTGTCCTAATTAATTTTACTAGAGGGGATGAACAAGCCCAAGTTTTTCTTCAGAAAAGTAATGTTCCGTTTATCTAATTACTCCTATATACTTTAAGAAGTTTCGATTAGTTTTTTTCATCCCAAATAGGTAATCTTGTCAACATTTACAGAGATGTTTTGGATCATACTCTCAGCCACACAGTAACGCAGTTTAATGAGGAAATAAAAGTGTAGGCCGTAATTGATATTTTTTCGCACTTCGTATATTTTATTTGTATAAAAACATAAAATATTCCTGTAGTTCGCAGCTTATATCCTTTCAAAATACCTATGTTGTTCTACGACTGACTAAACCTTTTTTGAACTTTTCCGATTCATAGGACTTCAAAAATCTAGCTCTTAGCGTCTATGATCTGGAATCTGGTGAGTTATCCAAACAGCTTGCACCGCGCCAATTCACACTTGCTGGTCACCATGGTGCTGTTGAATCGGTGAGTTTAACTGTTCGTTGACTTTATTGGTTATGTTTCTCTTTACAACGTATGGAAAATTTGTTTAACAGATGGAATTTTTCACCATTATTGATCTTCCGATTTAGTACACGAATTGCGTAACATTATTATCGTCATTATTCTTTTGAATGGTTATATCCTTCTATGGTTGGAGTGTCTATACGAGGAGAAATCTCTAAAAGATTAGCACATGAATGCCAATGGGTTTTCTGTCTCAGAATACTTGAATGTATAACTGAATTTGAAATGTGCATTTAATCATTTGTAAAAAACCAGGTCGGGTGTGAGGACAGATACTTACCGATGACATTAGCTAGTGTCAGTCGCACTATATCGTGAATTGGCAGAAGTTGGAATTTATGGACTAGCCATTGGATTAAGTCCCAGTAGCTTAATGGTCTACGAATTCCACCTTGTAACTGGAAGGTCCTGGGTTCGAACCTTGGTGGGTGCGTACTGATGAAGAGTTCCAAACTAGGGTGAAACATCTGCCTAGTACTCTCGGGTTTTCTAGTGGTTCTCTAAACTATGTCAGCTCATGATGAAGTCCTGTAACCAATCAGGAATAGCTGTCTGTTGAAAATCTTTGTTAGTTAGTTCATTTTTCTATCTGTAGCGTTATGCTACTGAGGAACCGTCTCCTCCCATCAGTTCGCCATCTTATAAGGTCTTGGTATCTGTGTTGTTTATCTATTTAATTGCTTTAGGTAGCTCATCATGTTTTAGCGAGTCCATTGTACAGTGGAAGATTTTAAAACCTTTTTTAGAACAAATTAGGCAAATATACTAGTTGTGTAAGAAATGAACAAATTGGCTTTCGATACCATACAAACTCCCACCACCAGCTTTCTGAAGACTTACATTGTTATGTTATAATAGCAGCAAGTGAAATTCAAATATTAATGGGAATGATAGCAGTCATAGTCACACCTTTTATTCATCTTTGTTAATATAATTTATCTTTACTGTAATAAAGCTCCTGTATTGAGAAAATTAGGTGTAGTATTGTATTGCAATGCTGAAAATACCATATTTGTACCAAAACTACTGTTTGGAATAAAGCTGTTATTATTAAAAAGTTGTATCTAGTGAGGTACAAGATCATGTCCTACCGATGATTAAGAAATGCAGATAATCTTATTTACTTTTATGAAGTGAATGTGCTTAATTGTCAAGTGCGTGTTAGGCAATATTTCACTTGGTGTTGCTTACTCTATGTCATTGATTGATTGATATGAGTAGGTGAATACAACTCACATCAACCAATAATGCTTACTAGCCAGGTAGAGGTGGTCTAAACACCGAACAATTATTATTACTGTTATTCCCTTGGATTCTGAGTAGAATACAGGGCTTCAACAATATATCCACATCTATTTTCTACTGTCCTCTTCAACCGGCTAGCCACACAACTGCCCATAATCCCTCATCTCCTCAACGTCACCCGCGCACCGACGACCCACTCGTCGCCTCCCAATTGGATTCCACTCGAGAGGTGGCGTGCATTGTGTGCGATGTCGTTCGATGGTCTCCTCAACGTGTTCCCCATCCATCTCCACTTTCCCCTACGTTTTTGTTGACCGATCGGCTCTTGATTAGTTTGTTTCCAGCCAGAGTTTCTTCTTACTTATTCTTTCTGGTTATTTGATCTTCAGTATGGAGTCAGCGAAGGCAGCTGTTGCTGAAAGTCTGTGACTTATTGGAAATGCTTTTCGTGATGCGCAGTGCAAGTTTCTGACCAGTACAGAAGAAGTGACTGACTTGACATTGGTGTTGAAAATCCGAATCTTGTTTTTTATGGTGGTTGAGTGCAGAAGAATTCCAAACTTGTTTCAGTTTGATGAAAGAATATCTTGCCTTTACGATTCTAACCAGCTTTGACGTCTTCATCCGTTCGGCGTGCCTGTGGTTGAAACGATGCTTCCTAGTTAAGTGAAGGAGGTAACCTCTGTCATATCTCTCCCGTTGATGGTGATTGGTGTTTGTTGTGGTGGTTGCTTTTGGTTGGTTATCTTCATCATCTCCATCTTTTCTATGTTCACCTGAAGTCCTGACTTCGCTACCAGCCTCTTCAGGCAGTTTGTTGGTTTTCGCCTGTAAGTCTTCGAGTTTGTGCGACAGTAGACATACATCAACCATGCGCGAAGTCCAGAGTTCTAGAGTCTTCTCATCGGTGGTCCAGCGTATTCCTATCTTCTCGCTCCCAGCGCACAGTCTTCCGTATAATGCAGTCCACCACAATTAAGAATATCACCGTTGGTGATAATAGGCAGCCGGCCAGCCTTGTCTTACTCCTGTATTCACTGGAAAGTCTTCGCTGAGTTTTCCGTTGTGGATCACCTGACACGTGGCGTTATCATGTAACCAGATGTTGAATGAGGTTGGTAAAAATGTGGGGCACTACACTCCATAGTGTTGAAGCAGTATCCAATCGGTCGATGCTGTGGGAGGCCTTTTCGAAGTTTATGAAGTTGAGATAGAGAGAGTTTTGACTGCTATTCTATGTTCTGTTCTGCAATGACTATGTGTAGAGTTGCAATTTGATCAGCACATGACTTGCCTTTCCTGAATTCAGGTGGTTCCTGTGGGTGGAGTTCTGCATCCAGTGCATGTTGTATTCTCTTCAGGATGACGCGGCTTAGTATTTCGTTCGGCATGGGCAACAGCACCGAACTACTATGTGTTTATCCGTACTCATAACATGATGACTCAGATATGGAGTGTTCATTCATGATTGAAATTCCGTAAACATGTAAACAAAAGACATCTTTTATGGATGTATATATTTTATAACTGTTAACGAAACGTAATAACATAATAACCTAATACAACAGTAGTATTCATGATTAAAACAGTAGAAAGTATTCTTTATTTATCAGATAGCATCGTTATAATTGTCAGAATCAATCAAAATCAATCAACGAAAAGAAAAACACTAAAACATGAATAGTATAATTTTTCAATCAGATTTAGTCGATTCTTCATCATCAGATTCACGAATAGATTCTGTTTTAGTTTTTTGAGCTAATGACCATAGTCCACTTTTACGTATACTAAATGCTGATGTTCGTGCAGCTAATGACATTTTTCTCCGTGTAATTAAATGCATTCGTGTACGATTAGTTAAACGAACTAGCATATATCCTTTAGAAATAACTACAAATATCATAATACATCCTAGTAGAAGTAAGAAACAAATAATGTTAAATACTAAACGTTGAGTACTAATAATACTTAGCTCAGCTGGTACATCCATATTGTATGTTTTGATTTCTGATGGATCATTTACCCAATCATGTGTTGACTTTGATAATAATGACAATGACGTGGAGGATAGGATATCGCCTTCATCACCCGGTTGTATATTGATTCTCATGCTTGGTTCTCCTTTACGATGTATTTCCTTGCGTAAAACATCTGAATCATCTGCATCTTTTGCCTGTCTAATGCACAAATCAGCATACCATGCACCTTCTTGTTTAGTTGATGCCACCTATAATCAATGGAAAAATAAAGCGGTACAAGGTGATGATAGTTTTATCAGACTTATTTACTTTTTCTGGGATATTTGAGTTACTTAGTTAGTAGGTTAATTAATACGCATATAAACTTAAATAATTTCAGCACTTATAATTTATGAAGGTTTGTTTCAACGATAAATAAGGCAGCTAATCATATAAATAGAATGCGTCGGTGGCATAGCGGTTAGGACGCTCGCCGACTATGCATTTATTCCGAGGTTCGATCCCCGGCCGGCGCACTCCTTCACCTCGTTAAGCTAGAAATGAGGCTGGTAGAGAGGAAAGGGTGGGCATGAGGCCAGCAACCCCATCCGGTAAAAGTAATCACCACTGTTACAGAAACTTCAAGCCACTAGCTTGAGGCCCTATGTTCCACTGGGAACGTGAAGGAAAAAAATCATATAAATACATGATCAACATATGCTTTTCATGTATACTAGTGAATTAATTCTTTCTGTTTTAGTCATAATATTACGAAAAATCACTGAATAACTTACTCCTTTACACTTTAAACATTCCCCTTGACCAGGTAATTGTTGATATGTTCCCTTGGGGCATATTTGACAACCATAAGTTGGATGAGATTCATTTGGTGTTAAATCAACTGAAAAAGTCCCTGGTGGACAGTATGCACATACAGCTGGTGTATGATAAATTTGATATTGTCCTAACGCGCAATAAGTGCTAGCTCGTAGTACTGCAACCTAATTTATTGATAAAAGTAAACTAATTTAATACACAAAGTATATAAAAGACATATACAAGTGACTAGGATTTAAGGTGAAAAATACATCTCCCTGTCATATAGGTAGTGTATTTTTAGTCAGTAATTTAATACTAACAATTGGTCGATCTTCCTTTCCGTTCAGCTTATTTTCTTGTTTCGGATATTTGGTAGTCGAGTTAAATTGTGAGGTGCATAAGAATTGTTTTGCGAAAATTATGATAGCTCATCATTTTGGTTACACTGACTGAATCTATGCTTTGTTTATGATTCATAACATAATTCTTGACTAACTTATCCTTCGTCCCTGACATCATATGTGTATTTCTAAGATTTCGATGCTTGTGATACTTTGCAGGGCTTTAAAGACACCTGTTTTGAAGCATCGCGAAATCCTTTAAAATTATTAATAGATAAAGCAGTTCAATTTTCCTCAAGTGGGCTGAAGCAATCTCTATCAAAGGCTTGAAACTTGACTTCTGTGTTAAAAAGAAGTAGTGATCGGTCTTTCCTTGCCCTGGTTACCTCTTTCATTTGACTACATAATCTTTGGCTCTAACGTCTTTTCTTTGCCTTTATTGCGTAACTTTATGACTATTGAATGCATACAATGATTTTCTGTTCACACTTGAACTCTCTGAGCAGGATGGTGGAGGTTATTTTTCAATGCGCACACACACATGTATGAGTAAATATTCTTCTTATTACTCATCCATTTAATTTTAAGGCGAAAA